GCTATATTGCGTGCGGCGGACGCATGCGACCGTCGCCACTGTGGCTTTCGTTGGGGCTCCCCATCGGGTCACGAAACACTGAACTGGGTGGAGCGGGCGCGTGCGAACGTCACCACAGGGACCTTCGGTGGAACTCCCTGGGAGGCCACGAAACGCTGCACTGGGCGGGGCAGACGCACGCGAACGTCGCCACTGGGGCTTTCGGTAGAGCGCTGCCTGTGGGGCCACGAAGTGCTGTGCCGAACTGGTTTTTGGCATGCGGGGAGCAGAGGCACGCAGAGGAGAAGGGAAGAGGAGGAGGAGGAGGAGGACGAGGAGGAGGAGGAGGAGGAGGAAGAGAAATAGGAGGGGGCAAAGGATGAGGAGCGAGGGAGGGAGGGAGAGAGGGAGACGCGGGGCGGTCTCTCTTCAAAACGATGACCCAACACCACAGGACGGTTGGAAAAGATTATGGACTCTTGCGCAAGCCCACCATCTCATCCAGAAACGATACCCAAACGAGTTGCCCTGATCATGGATTCAGAGGAGCACGCAATGGAATGGAGTAGGAGCAGGAGCAGAAAGAGTAGCGAGGATGGAAGAGGAATCGGAGGAGCAAGAGGAGTAGGGGCCTCTGGGAGGCCTCTTGGGGCCTCTTGGAGGTCTCTTGGGAGCCTCTTGGAGACATCTTGGGGACCTCTTGGGAACCCTCTTGGGGCCTCCTGGGCGCCTCTTGGGGCCGTCTCGGGGCACCCTCGGGAGCCTCGGGGGCCATCGTGGGGCCATCTTGGAGGAGACCGATCCAAGGAGGGGGGGTGCTTAATTAACGGCCTCCCCCCCAAAAGGCTAAAATGTGGCCAAAACCTTAGTAAAATAAGTGAGTTTGGCCTTCTCGCCGAGGCTATTTTGGATGCTGTTACCGACCCTCACGCAGTCCCCCCCGTGGAGGTCCGGGGGGGAGGGGGCAGGGGGGAGGGGGGGCGCACCCCTCCCCGGAAGTGAAAAAGGGCGGTTGGAAGGGAAAACTTTCCAAATCAGTCACGCCCCCAAGGGCTGGTGGGATTCGTTTCTCTTGCCAGAAATTGAATTCGCAAATGCACCAATAAAAATGATTTCGTTCTTTATTTGGCGTTCTGGCCCCGGTCCCGCCTAGTCCCCTCGCGTGGACTCTTGCACACGGGCGCTGTCGATGTGTCGGCGCTCCGTTCATCGGCGTTCGCTTTGCTCTGCCGCGTGCTTAACTTGTCCGGGCAGAGCTCAAGACTCGTCACCTGATGTGGGGAGCGATTGGTTGCGCATTAGCACGCCTAGCCGAACAGTGCAAGAGAACCCTTTGCAAGCCGATGAACCGCCGCCGCCGCAGCGGGGGGGGAGGGCGAGCGGGGGGTGGGACGGGAGGTCAGGGGAGTGCAAGGGCATGGAAAAATGGAGGAGGAGGAGGGAACAGATGAGAAAATGAAATTGACGGTAGAGGAGAATTACAACAAGAAGAGGACGAGGAGGAGGAGGATGAAACGGCACGAAATGCTTGAGGTGCGTGCCGACTTGAAGCCAATGGAGACCTTTCGGGGGCAAGCTGACCTCCCATGATGCTCGAAATTCTTGAAGGCACATCGCGGTGGCCTCAAAATGGCCTCAAGGTTCCAAAGCACATTCCGGTGGCCTCAATACGACACACTGCTGATCTCAAGATGGCCCCATGAACCTAAGACGACCCCATGACCACCATACAATCCCAATCCGGACACATAAGTCCAAGCCGACCTCAGACGACCCCAACATGACACCATGACCTCAAAGTGACCCAATACGTCCCCAACGTGATATCAACGCCACCCCAAGATGTCCCACAAGATCATTAGCGATACTAGTAGTCCGAAAATGGCCCCACGGCCTCAATGCGGGAACTCGCAGCTTTTCCAAGAAGCCTGAATGACCTCTGGCTTGTTTGCTTCATGATGTTCGCATGTTCTAGTGTTGGGGAGGGCGTCATGACCCTACGATGATCCCACGACCCTGATGACCATTAAGATGACACCAAGACGGCCGACCCCATGACAATCACAAGGTAACCTCAAGCCGGCCCAAATAAAATCATCAGCTGCGAGAACACCCCTATCACCTTATGGCTGGCCCCAAGACTACCCCGAGACAACAGCATCCCCCCCTTGACGGTCCCAGAATGATACCAGGAGCCTAAGACGACCCCAATAGAACCTCAATAAGACCATCCAGCGTCCGCAAAACGATCCCAACGCGACCTCAGCATGATCTCAAGGCGTCTCCAAGATGCTCCCGAGTCGACCCAATGGCTTTTTCTGACGAGCCCAAGAGAAGATCCTCAAACGACCCCAGCATGACCAGAACACCCTTGTATGGGAGGAGAAGCATCTTGATCAACACAAGACTCAGGGAAATATTAAGAAGCGTGAACAGGAAGCCAAGAAACAGAGGGACGATCGAGCAGCTGGACGCAAAAGACCGCGACTCACGATCTCCAAATACACCCGACACGACCGCGGATTGGTTAGCGAGGCCGCGACGCTGAAGTCTGCAAAGGCCTTGGGCCGCCGAGGGGCTTCGGGGCGACGGCTTCGGGACCATCACGTCTCGA